ATAGTAGCTAATAGTTGATAGTAGATAGTTGATAGTAGATAGTAGATAGTTGATTGGCGAGAGGGAGGGAGGTGCGTATACATAAACGAGGATAAGAGACGTCGAAATTTATATGCAATAATATGTTGAGAGGTGTTCTTTCTCGCTTCTCTTGTTCCGTTTCTTTCTTTCTCTTTCCGTAGCTCGAGGGATACGCACGCAGTTAGAAGCGCTACACCGTTGCATTTGCGCTTCAGTTTTAGATGAGACGACCTGGAGTTGCGGTAAAAGTAAATTTCGAAATGAACAACGCGTTGTTGGTAAATGCTTATAAGGAAAAGGAAAAGGAAGCTTTTGTAGAGAAGTTCGTTGAACGAGTTGGTGAAACGCGCTACGCTTGTACTGCTTTGATGACCGGAACATGTATTACGCACGCATGTAAGTACAAATTGTGTTGGTGTTGGAGTCATATAGAGCCACATGGAAGCCACGCGAATGAGGTAATTATACACTTGGATGAAGGAAGTGAAAAATAATAGATCCTCTCTTTTGTTTTATAGATTTTATTTCGGAGAAAGTACTATTCTATGTTCTATAGCGCAGTGTTTGAGTGTGCCTCGTTAAGTATACGCATATTTATTTATGTAAATGGGGGCGAGGAGGGGGGGAATTATCTATACGGACATTTTTTTTTAATTTCGACTTTTCCACAAAGAATTTCTGTCCCTTATGCTACTTATTTTTTCAATCTCTTTTTATTAATATAATTTTCGTTATAAGTTTCATTTATTGCATTTATGTAATATCCACTTGTATATGTAAAATATTTATTCATCTCATTATAAAGCAAGGATTTGAAGATAAAGAAATTTAGTTAAAAATAATTAATAGTAATAAACGAACGACTAATGTTAGACTAATAAATTACAGTTATTTTTTAATATCATATTCGTATCTTCGAATTTGTAAAGTTTTTAAAAAAACAATATCTCATTAGGATTCATTGGTAATCCACAAACAAGTAAACATTTCCTTCATTGTAATTATCTATTATTAGTATCGAGATCCATTGAATCGATTCCTCATATTAACGCTTACGATATTTTCAGAACAAAATATATCATTCAGTATCCAACATATAGAGAAAAAAGCATTGTTTAATTAATTTTTTTGATTTTTTTTTTTTTAATAATTGTTATACAAAAAAATAATAAAAGTAAATTAATATCAACACAACCGATAATACAATAGATAATAATTTAATAATTAAATGATTATATAATGTATAGACACTTGTAGAGCAACGTGAAAATAAAATTTTAAACTTAATTTGCGAAATTATTTAAGATTCACTTTTCAAAAAAAAAAAAACTTTTTTCACTGAATTAACTAATGCACTCTCATTCGCATATTACTTTTACAGAATTAAGATTAACAATTGTTATCCATTCAATGAAATAATTTTGTTCGTTTTTCCATTCCCTAAACATTTTCTTATACTCTGTTTGTCAATCTATTTCCTTTATGTCCTCTTTTTCCTAAAAGTACACAATTTCATTCTGGTGTTGACATTCTGATTTTGAATATCTCATACTAATACTATACTGTTCTTACAAACTTTTTGCAATTTATAAAATCGGCCGTCAGTGATCTTTCCATTACATTTTCACAGTCGATTCGTTTCACATTATTATTATTTCCAAAAGACCATCATTATGAATAGAGTGTAAGAAAAAGTTGATCGAACAGGGGGATGGAACACATATCGCGCATTTGAAATTTCCGAATATTAAATTCTATTGGAATCAAAGCTCACTTTAGTATCGCATTTGTAAGAATGATGTAAAATTTCCATAATTTATATCTAATTACGGTAATTATAAATTAATTGCGTTGATCCTAAATTCTTACCGTTCGAAATTCTTTCTTATCCACTGAATTAATAGTATAGTTATTTTTTAATGATTTTATATTATGTTAAATATACCAATGAATTAATTGCCAGCAATTAAATATATATAAATATATATGTAGGTTATATTTATTGTATCATATAATAATTATTATATTTATGTATTATTTTCACTTATTATATGAAGGAATGAATATAATATTAAAAATTTCAAAAATTTTCGAACAATGTTATAATTAAATAATTAATATATATTATCGCAGACATTCAGCATCTATATAAACAAGATTGTAATAAACTTTCCGATACGATCGTATTACTTATAATCTATATGTGCGTGCGTGTAAATTCGAGATTACGTAAAACCCGTGCACGCGTTTCATGACTAACTTTCAGTTAACCGGAATTGGTCGCGTGTTCCTTTATTCAAATTCATCGAGCGTTTAACGACTATACGAGAACCCTTGATACCTTCTTTCTTTTGCTCCCAGCACTTATTATTCTTCGCTTCTCATACCAATGAAGCTATACCTAACATAAGCGTAATTAAAAAGTCTTTACTTGTAATCTACTATAGGTCGGAATTATATTTTTGGTCGTTTGTGTAATTGTACGGCAATTTGTATTTAATATTACAAATATCGATCTCATTGTTTATATAAGGTATTTTTTTTTTTTTTTTTTTTTTTTTTTTTTTTTTTTTATTACTACGAGTAGATGTTGCAATCAATCAATTCTTTAATCACATTTTTATCTCAAATGTTATAAAAAAAGAATTTAATAATTTTATTTTCTCGACCTTCGTAGTAATCGAGAAACATTTACAATATTCGTGAAATCTTGAACGAATGCATTAAACTAAAAGTAGCTTTTACTTTTAATCATTCAGAAAATACTAATAATATAAGCGAACTATTGTAAAAAGTAAGAAAATATGAAAAAAAAAAAAAAAAAAAAAATGTAATAATTGTAATTAATGGTGTAATTAAAAATTGTCTGTAAATTAATATTCTTATTTTCAAATTATTATTTCACATTATTGACAAAGATATCTATATTAAAAAAAAAAAAAAAAAAAAAAAAAACCAAGATAAAACATCAACTATAATCAAATTATTGATTTTTTGCAAAATCTTTGCGTATTCCATCTTTGTTATAAGATTTACATTTTGTTAATATATCTTTTATGCTTATTATTTACGTTGGGTGCATGTGCCGTAGTGATCAGCGACGCGTTTCAATTTTAATGAATACATTGTGGGACGTTAAGAATAGCTTATGAGGATATGTAAGCTTAGAATGAATAAAAAAGTTTTCTCTTCGCTTAAACTAGTTTAATTTCGGAATTTCATTCAATCCTACGCGATAATGCTAACTTCTACGATAATTCATTAATTATAGGTATAATAGCTGTTACGATAATTAATATAAATTTTTATTTAATAGATAGTGCTATAACTATACGAGTAATATCATTGATCCAAGTAAAGGCGAGTGTGAAATAATATTTTTGCATTAACCGAAAATGTCATTTAGAAATAAATGATAACTATTAGCATTTACTTTTAGATCATTGAATTATCGATATATCATCCCATTAATAACATTCACAATAATGTCAGACACCTATTTTCTTTCTAATAATATTACAAAATTAGTTTTTTATATATATAATTCGGCTCAATTAACGTTTAAGAAAGAATTTCAAATTCTAAACAGACAATTAATCTAAAGATTTATAAAATATTTAAATTTTACAATATCCACTTTCACTATTATTTAAAATTTTATGCATTAATTTCATGTATTTCCGAACAAAATTTATGTTGTATAAATTCTTGATTTATATATATATATATATATATATATATATATATATATATATATATATATATATATATTGTGTGTGTGTGTGTGTGTGTGTGTGTTGAAAACTTTTTTGAAGGCATAAATAAGCGATTAAATGAATAGTTAACTAACTTACCCAGCAGAAGAAACCGATTGTCTTCTATCAGAAAGTTTATCGTTTGTCGTGACTTTGATATTATTAGGTTTTTCATTGATATTTCCACTCCTTTTGCCCGCTAGCTTATCACCATTGTACTTCGACCTACAAATCGACGAATCTTCACTCCAAGACTTGTGATGGAAAGAGTTTTTCGTCTTTTTTTGCCAGGGCTCGACGTCTAATCTTATAGCCGAACAGGTGAAAGAGCGCAGTCTTTTGAATGAATTCCTTGCAGCTCGAAGACCATCGAAGTCGAAATTTAAGGATGTTGGCCTTTTAGCGTAGTCATTGGTTTTCGATGGCGGTGATGATTCAAAGCCCTCGTTATCAAATTCGAAACTTGTACTCGGCTTACAGTGCTTTTGGCGATTATTAATAAAGCAAGTTGGTTCCAGAGGATATGACGCGTTTTCTTTGCTAGACGATCTTGAAAATTGTATTTTTGAACTTCGCAAGATCTTCTCATAATCATTGGAGTTTCTAAGCTCAAACTGTTCATCATTATCATCCAATTCTGATAAGAAGTTGAACGCGTCATTTATTTCCCGTGTCTCATAAGAGACATCGTCTTCCAACGAAATCTTCATAGATACCGAACCGAAATCCACGCGATCTTCAGAATCTCCAAGCATTTCAGAAGACGTGTGAATATTGATAACTGGTTCTAAATTCTTAGTGATATCTCTGACTCTTTTGATAGTGTCCGAGGATACTACATCGATTCGTTTTCTTATAGGTACAACCTGATCGTGACCCAAGGTTACTAAAACGCTACCTGCAGGCTCTCTATCGTTGGCATTGTGCACAAGATCTACGTGGTTTCTACGCGTTAGTGATAATTTTTGTTCGAGCTTCGGTGGACAGACATCGAGGAGATGTTCTTGCTCTTCGGGGGTAGCGTCGACTATGGTGACCCGAGGAACGCATGTTCCCACTACACCGCTCTCAAGGTCAATTAGGTCGACGTCATCAATAATATTTTTTGACGCCATGTTAAATGTCGAGCGAGACCTCTGAGTAGTTTCTGAAACACACACAAGTACACAAGACATAATATCGAGATGAGAAGGAACAAATTTTTAAATTTAATTATTAATTTAAGCATAATAATTATCGAGAAATATATATATATACAGAAACGATTGTTTATTAAAATATTGTAAGTCTCAATGATTTCATGCAATTGTCGTGAATAAATTAAGATATCGCATACAAATATGTGACTAAAAATTTCTCGTTGCAAAAGGAAAAAGTGTTTCATAATATATTATGTAATATTATTTTTCAATATATATATATATATATATATATTAATTATGATATTTATTATAATTGTTAAACTATGTTAATATAATAAATTGATTTAAACTGTTCACTGATATAATGAAGTAGTTGAACGTTTTGCTTTACGTCTTTATTTTGAAATGAAATTAACAAACAGATTTTAATTATAAAAATTTTTTTTTACAAATATACAAATTTAAAATATGAGAAAAATAAATAAACGAAAAATTATAGAGAAAACTCTTAGAGATTTGTTTAACATATAATTTTTAACACTACTTTCCGATAGAAATCATTCAACATATTTAATAATCTTTTTAACGTTATATTAATTCAAATTTATCTTTATTCCGTTGCATTGTTGTTCACATTTAATTTACCATAAAAAATTTGAAGAAATTTCTTACTAATACAATAAATATCTATTATTATTAATTTATTTGTTTATTCTCTTATAAAGAATAAGGAAAACTTTATAAATAAATCAATATATATATATATATATATATATATATATTGATTTAATTTGAAACATTAAACGAGATAATTGCATTCGTACTTAGAGTAAAAACTAAATGATACGGTTACAGCCGTACTTTTTTATATATCAACAGAATACTTGGAAGATTACACGTTTCCATGGTTATTCATCATTCTCATATATATATATATATATATATATATATATAAAGGACTCCGTGAGAAAATTCAGTAACAATATATTTTTATTTGATTTAAAAAAATTATTTTTAAAACGTGACTTGCCATCCACATCGGCAATGTAAAGACTATTATTTTTATTTCCAACCCCCCCCCCGCTCTCCCCTCTACATCTTTTGCCTCTCATTGCTCAGCAATCGTTCATGTTCGAGTATCGAGTGAACTATTGACCACGATGCTCGAACCCGTCAATTCCAAAGGGTAATCGAAGATATCGCGTACGACGTGAGAAGTCGGCACTCGTTACTCTCGGAAAAGCGTGTTATGCGCCTATAAACAGGTCATGAGAAACACTAGAATCCCCCAACCGCGTCTTCGTGCACACTTTATGCAATTGACGACAGTGGTCTCGAGTGTTTGTATTCAAGTGTGTATCGTGTTAACATGCTTCTTTATTTACATTATCAATGAAGAATTTACGATGTCGATGCACATAGTTTTCGATGATAAGATAATGGATAAATACCCCGAATAGGATCAATTTTTAGAGCAATATATATTTAGATAATTAATAGCGTTCCAAAAGCGAGACGGGAGGAAGAATCAAGTAACGAATCGACATCTTTACTAATTTTATTTATACTATCAGTCCTGAAATGTTTTATGCGTTATTAATCATATCAAATTATAACAGTTTATGTAAAATTGAGAAAAATCAGTTAAAACTATCTATGTCAATGTTACATTGAAATTTCTATACATAATCCAATTATTTAACTTTTAAGTTAAATGATATATTATAGTTTATATTATAGTTTGGACATTCACTTTGAAACTTTGCAAAACATGTTACTTATAAATTACATCGATAACTGTTTATTTTCTTATATATTTGTTTAGTCCTTAACGGATAGATAATTTTCTAACTAATTTTTATGTATAATATATAATATTTATATGCACATAACAATATATAAACAATTGAATATTGAATAAAAATATGACAATGAGATATATTTAAAAATTTGTAAAATCGTTAGTATAATTAAAACGTGAAATTTTACACAAATCTTAGTTTTAATAATATAATTTCGTTTTCATTTTTTATTATACTGAATAATATCATACATTCATAGTGCAATGAATTTTTAACAGATTAAGGGCAATATTAGAGATCAAATTTAGACAATTGTTAATATTTATTTACATATAATTTTTATATTATATGGTGCATTTTTTCGTTTAAAAATACAAAAAAAAAAAAAAAACAAATATAATAAAACATAATAATAACTATAAATTTAACAAACTGTAAAAACCTTTGTATTTACAATAATTTGTTAATAATTGAAAAAAATTAATCTATGTTATAAATATTCTTTTAATGTTTTTATAAAAAATATAGTTACTTCAGAATTATTAATACTGTTTTTTTTTTTTTTTTTTTTTACATACATATCTCGTTAAATGTTAATGAGACTCTCTCCGAGTTTACTTGGGAAAATTATGAAAAGTTTTTTAACAATATCAGTCAATATTTGAAATACTAACTACATTAAATATTTATGAATATGGTGTAAGATTTAATGTACAAAAAATCGCTTATCTAACTTTTTTTTTTAATCTCCACAAATATTTTGCTTTTTTTTTCTTGTCTAAATATATGGCCTTTTTATGTACTTTCTAAAAACAGATTCCAAGCACAGTAATAGATTAATGTATTGTAGAATTAAGTACATATTACAGGGTTCTTTTTTTTTTTTTTTTTTTTTTTTTTTTTTTTAATGTAACTATATATTACCATTAAGTAAAATAATATAAATGACTGGTTAATAATTTAAGATGATTTAAATAATTATTAAGGCAAAACTGATTTATTTAATAATAATTTCTTTTAACAAACTTTATTGTACTAATAATGTGTATATAATGAACAATTATTACCTTTACTCTAACAATAATTCGCAAAATTAATATTATAGCGAGAAATGTATAACCAAATTAATGAATTAGTTTAGTATTGATTGATATGAAAAATATATTAAAAATTATCATCTACGTCGAAAAAATACGTTACTTGTTAAAAAAAATTTTCACGAATATAATAAAATAATTATGCATAATAATAGTATAACTGGTATATTAAAAAATTTATAACCAACATGAATACTACTTTTGAATTTATAGAAACATCATACGCTTATGATAAATGTGAATATATTATAGCAATATTGGTAATAATAAACAATAGACCTTATATTGATTAAATTAATTTTTTCATGTGTGATTGAAGCCGTGATCTTAACTGCGATCAACGTCAAGGCCTCGTTCGTACAACACATACTCAATAAAAACGATCGAAAGCATTTATTTATCCGCATGCGCTGTTGATTCGCGACGACGGGGAAAACGTAGGCAGAATATTCACAGAAATCTCCATGAGATTTTGACACCAGACTAATGGAATAATGAAAAATCAAATTCATTGTGAATGTCATTCAAGGTGTATAAGAAAATCAAAGAAAAAAAGGAAAAAAGGAAAAAAGGAAAAAAGAAAAAAAGAAAAAAAGAAAAAAAAGAAATAAAAGACAAAAACAAAAAATGCCGTTACATAATCGACTATTCATTCATTGGCTTTTATGTATGAATTCATGTACTTGTAACGCTGATTGGACTATGCTATTCTTTCACGTATATTATAATATTACACAAATTTGTATCATAAAACTTCTTTCAATTTTAATTACTTTAATGTGAATTGTTTAATATGCATGTGAGTATAATTATAATAAAAAAAATTTTACTCAAAATTCTTTTTAATGGTTCTCATTTATTAATCTGCATTCTTAGATAATGAGACACTTTATAATTATTTCTTTTCTAAAATTTCACTATATTTAATTCATAACTCATTTATTACCATTAAAAAAAAATTTTTTTCGTATTTTTCGAAATATATCACTTATTAGTAGTTATAAACAATAATTATGAATAGAAAGGTATAAATGTTTCTTGCATTTATTCAGTTATAATGTACAAATCTGTTCCTGAAAATCATATCGCATGTGTACACAAATAAGACTAGTAATCTGAAGTTGTAATGAACTTTATATTTTAAATAATGTAATGAATCACAAGTGAAAATATTATGAGAGAAAGATTTAAGACAAAAAATTTACTAGATCATAAAAAATTAAGTAAGTAACATTGTATGCGTTATACATAGTGAAAATATTGAAGAAAAAAAAGAAGAAAAAAACAATAAAATATTTTTATATATTTTTAAATAATTATATAACATTAGATCTGTTTTTAATAAATTGAAACAATGAAATGAACATAATGATTGAGTATTGAAATTTTATCCTTTTCTTTATAACGTCAAACGATTTATTGCTACAAAGAATTATGCAACGAGAGGAAACACGAATTATGAAAGCTGAAATTACCGTATTAAAATTGTTATAAAATGAGTTTTCGATGACAAATTTATTACAAACTTTAATCTTTATCGTTGTAATTCCGATAGTAATTAAGTTTATAAAATTATTTCGATACAAACAATATTTATTATAAGAGAATCACATTATTCATAATAAGACGATTGGCAATATTCAATCGAATATAAAAATTACGAAAATATTGCTTTATGCAATATTGATTTTCTGACGAATAGTAAAGATAAAATAATGGCCATTTTGATAAAAAAAAAAAAAAAAAAAAAAAAAAAAAAAAAAAAAAAAAAAAAAAAAAAAAAAAAAACTCCACTGTTATAATTACTCGCTGACGCGAAGATGAAAAGCTTATTTCTAAAATCGTTCGATATGTAATAGTGGAACTCACTTTTACGCTGAAACATATGCAGGAAATCTTGGAAAATCGATGCCATAATTAATAAATCTGCTTCAATAATATATAATATTATGATCTTTGACTATAAATTCTGCATTCGAGTCCCAAATACGTAAAAATACAATTCGAAAAAAAAAAAATAGAAACAAATGTCATGCGACAACTAGACTATACAACAGCATTTAATAATGTCGAATCTAACTTTGTCACTAGTTTGCGACTCCGTCA